GGGAAGCTTGTGCGGTAAACAATGCGATAGCATGGGAATAGGCTCACCGATGATTCATTTGGCGCCTCTTCGAGCCCACGCGTGCGGGGCGGTGTTATCAAGCTTGCACTGGAATCCTCTGCCATGAACGGCGTGACAAGACATGACGATTACAGGCCGGTCGGCCCCATTTATTACAGTGGCCATTTAACCCTTGTGTCTCTTCAACCTTTCGATCGCGCCCCACCATTGCAAGAAGCACACCCACCACGAGAAATTCTTAGAGGGTATCCTGCACGGCTCCAATGGCGCTCCGAGCAGTTGCCGATGACGAGCAGTAGTTCATCATGCATTCCATGGTGGACACCCACAGAAGGTTCATGGACCTCTCGGTGGTGTACACCAATGACCCGGTCTGGGTGGAGCACTCCATCCACATCATGGAGCTGTTGCTTGCCGCGGAGAAGTACAAGGTGGTCGGTTCGACCTCGAGTACACCCGCGCTCGTGCCGGGTCTCGTCCCAAGGTCGCCGTCGCCCAGATGTGTGTGTGTGCCACCACGTACTCATCTACCACTACTGCCTGGCCACAAGGCCTTGCAAGCGTTTCTCCAGGTTTGTCAACAGCCCCCACTACATGTTCGCTACGGTGGACATCACCAACGATGTAAAGGTGCTCGAGAATTTGGGCATCGCCTGCCAGAATCTTGTCGACATCCAGGGCCAATACAAGATATGGGGCAACAAGGAGCATGAGAAGGACTCACTGGTTCACCTCGCCGAGGCCATCATCGACCCCTACTACAGAGACATGAAGGATTCGTGCAACAAGGACAAGCGTGCCCGACACTCAGCCTGGATGGAGAAACTCGACAAAGCTCACGTCGTGTACGCGGCCAAGGAGGCGTACATGAGCTACGACATGTACAGGCGGATCGTTGACATGAGGAAGTGCCTCCTTCCTCAAAACGGCCAGGGATCTAGCCGGAAGAAGAGCAATGGCAAGCGTCGTCGCAACAATAAGTAGATGATTGGATCCTCGTTTCTCCTACTTTAGTATGCATGTAATTGCTTGCTTTGGTGTGTGGAAATGTTATGTGTGTAGTCACTTGTGTAATTGTATGCTTAATTTGGTTATGCAATGCTGTATTTTTTAAGTATATATGTTGATGCTCTGTAGACAGAGCATAGATGTTGTGCGGACAAAGAAAATCACATCGCACACGGACTAAACAATGTAACCCGTCAGTGATGTTTTCATCAATCACTCACAATTTTATACCAGCAATCGTTTGCTCACAACACACACGACTTGTTAGCAGTAATCGTCTATGTTGTTATCAGTCTTCACACACGTTTCCAATCACACACCTGTTTGCCTCGTATCACACACATCTTGTTTATTTGAATCATTTCTGCTCTCATGTCTCAATGCAAACAGTTCATCCGAGTGAACCGCATGCCATATATCGCACACACCTTTGATCTGGCTGACCGTTTATTTTGTGTTGCCTAATCACAAACAGTTCATCTGAGTGAACCATATGTTGTACATCGCACACACCTTCATCTGACTGCCCGTTTCTTTTGTTCCTCCTCATCGCAAACAGTTAATTGAGCCGAACTGTATGCCCTGCATCACACACGCAACGAAAATCTGAACCGTGTTTGATGCATCCTCCATCGTAAACGTTTTGCACCTTTTTGACGGTTTTTACACCACCGTTTGCGATTATGGCATCACACACAGTTTCGTCAAAGGGTCTCTGATCATAGTGTCGCGTTAGCAGCATCCTGCAGTAGTGCCGGTTGAAGACTCGTCATCAGAGTGGATGTCCGTCTCTCCTTTGGATACAGATCCTTCCTCGAGATCCGCCCCGTGGATGAAACCAACAAAAGCGTGCTTCACGACGGCTTGAACCTTGGCGGGTCGTGCACACGGAGCCGTCTCAATGATGTCGGTGCGGGTGTCTGGCTCAGGGCCCGATTCGCCGATCTTGCCGATGAAGACGTGGATTCCGCCAAAGGGGAACCGATACCCGTACTCAATTGAGCCGGCCTCGGGGCCCCAACCAGCGTCGTCGATGTAGAGCTTGCCGCGACGACTCTTGGTCATCCGGCCCATAGTGTATCCCTTGATCGCTGCGAAGTTACCCTTCAAGAAATCAAAACCACCGTGCGCCAGCCCCACTGTGGGCGCCAACTGACGTGGACTTAACACGGCAAATGCCCTAGCAAAATGGCTTAGGTGTGGAGCCATCGCAACTAGGTTAGCTTAAAGGGGTTAATCGGGACAAAGGACATAGAGAGTTTATACTGGTTCGGCCCCTCGCAATGGGGTAAAGGCTTACTCCAGTTTGGGGTTGTATTGCTTGGGGTTCGATTACCAGGGAGCGGATATGCTTGACCTAGTTCTCGACTTGTTGTTTTCTTGAGTTAACCCGCCGCTGGGTCACCCCTTTATATACTTAGTTTGATGCCCCACGGCTTACAGAGTCCCGGTCGGCTCATACACAACATGTATGGCTCGGTGACTAACTAAGCTTGCCTTACAATACAAGTTACACATATGGCGGTTCATCCTCTTGGGACTCAAGTCGCCTCTGGGTCTTGGGCTGTCAATAGGCTTGCTTCACGACCCGCCATCTTTATCTTTAAGTCGCCAGTGGTATGACCCGACCCCTCCTGGGCGGGTCATACCAGTAGTCATATCCCTAACACAACTTTCATTTGAAATATCAAAGATAGTAATGAGAGGATTTGGCGTCATAACACTCATGTTTTGGCCGAGAATAAATGTAAAAAAACAAGAGTGGGTTGAGTTCTTGCCCTCCTTTGCTAAGCTTCCGTCTTCTTGTCTCATGTATCATGACGTCATGTGATCCATCATTTTGTATGGAATAATAGTCTCTACTACTAAATGATATAATTATGGGCTTTCTTATTCTTAATCAGGAACTTTGTCCCCTAACATATCCCTTACTATTCTGGTAGGTCTTTGGTGGGCATACTAAAAGTTGTAAGCTCTCTTGGTCAAACAAGTGGAATGAAATACATGTTTTTTTCACACAACTCATAGCACCTCTCAGGCCCCTCCCCCATTTCACTTTGGAAATCTTCTGTCTGCAAGGGCTCAGTTGCAAGTTATTTTTGGCACCTCCTTCAAGGAAAAGTTAACACCCGAAATCCCCTCCATTGTAAAAATATATTTCTCCTAGATTTCATCTGTGCCTTATGTCATGCTCACGTTGAGGAATATAATTGTTCCTTTTGTGGAACTTTTATTTCCTTGAAATGTTGAGACATCCTCTAGCCTTCATGGAGAAGAGGCATCGAATTATGGGAGATATTGTTAAAAATAGATAAATAAACTATTTCCCATGGAAATTGCTATTCCGGCGAGGTGCATTTTGAAAACTAGATGATACCCCGCGCGTTGCTGTGGGGTTTTGTAGTAGTAATATGCATCACCAATGTTTATGTATTGAGTAATAGTAGTTAAAATCAAAATGTGATAGTTCCCCAATAAAAAGGTGAATATTGTAACTACATAAAGTTTATTATGTTTGCATGAATAACTCAGTGTTCAACTGTAAAAATAATAACTCGTGAGAGAACTATGCAGTGTGCTTGTGGTTTGTGCCCTCTTCTGTAAAATGTGTGGAGATCCGTCATTCCATTTCTAATGCAATCATCTGTTACAGCCGGGTAAGCATATGCTTTGGGTTGTTTCATAGTATTCTCAATTTCACCAGTGAACAACCTTTAGTAGTGGTGTAGAGGTATCACGTGCCTATTACTTTATTGTGAATGTTGTATTCATCCCCTCTATACCAACCATTAGTATTCAACTGCAGAAACTTACTTGGAGGGCAAAGAGTGTACATGATGTGAGAATGACTACTTGCAGTTATTATGTCAAGCATATTTGAAATCTGAAATGTAGCAAGTAGCAATAGCTAACTCAAGAAAATATTATAGGGAAAGAAGCCTATAGGGGAGTAAAATTCGTGCGATCAGGAATTAGTATTAGAGACTGGAGATGTTTCTTCAGTACAGTACTTAATATGCACTCAAGCAGGTTTGAATAAATGACATTCGGATAAATTTTTGTACAACAGAATCACAATTCAGTTGCTAAATTATATAAACACAAAGCATGGAGGTCGGCAGAACTCAGTGTTGTTGATTGTAGGCCCTGCCTTGTTTGCAAGATTAATTACGTGGGATGCATACATATGGAATAATAAATGGAGTAAAGAAAACTCACATGTAGAGAAAAGGCACCTGCCCTGCACACAGATTGACGCCAGATATTTCAAGCAAGGCCAGTGCATAGTGTGCATGCTTACATCAATTGTGATTCAGTAAAGGCAGTGTGGGTGCTTGAGAGGTGAGCCCGTATCTTCATACACAACAGCAACAACCATTGAGGGTTGGGACATACTACATCAACACCAATTGAGCAAAAATGAACACCATCTTCTGCACCTCCATCTACATTAGATAGAATGTGGAACTGCAAGTTTGCAGATTAAAAATTAAGTCAGTAGTTACCACCACATCGTTCCTTCCCGACCGTCCCGATCGAAAAGGGAGCCAACTCAGTAATCCTGGTGGAACCAACCTCCCCAGTGGCGCTGGAGCTAATTTGTTGGAATGAAAACAATATTTAGGGGAGGACGAAAGGCAAATCAGCACCGTGTCCGAGCCGCCGTAGGCAAGAGGACCAACAGCCATAGCCGGAGGAGCCCACAACAACGGGACCGCTGCTTGAGATAATCCCGGAGAGCCGCCGGAGGGGAGGGAGATCGGTGGTCATGCCGAAGCCCGAGTGCCATCGAAGGTGAGGGGGACCGACGGTCGTGCAGGAACTTGAGAGTAGTGGGAAGCAGGGCGGACCGACGTTCGTGCTGGAGGCAAAGAGTCATCGGATCCGAGCGTACAGGCAGACACCCAAAGCGGGGATCGCCTCCCAGCCGCCACACCCTTCACGCAAGGGATTGGTTTTTCTCTCTCTCGATGGAGAGAGGGATCGATGGGTTGATACTCGAGGAGTCGAGAGGAAACAACACACTCGTGTTATATGGACACAAAGCAGAGGGCCCAGGTGAGAGACGAAAGGCCTACTATGGCATAATGGATGAAAGAAGATGAACATGCCCTCATTTTGTCTTCCAGGTACATTACGTGCAATGCAGCGTGGTAGAAATTATTATAGGAAGATTATATAAAGAAAAAAAAGTGACTTCATATGTGGGGCCTACTTGATGATGTGGATAGGCTGCATGTCAAGAGAAATAAAATAGTGGGGATGAATTATTTAGGTATTATAGATATGGAAGAGTGAAATCTTTGATAATGTACTTCCGAACTTAGATTGATGGAGAACTCAGGTTGTTGACATTTTCATGTAGAACTGAATACATGAGAGTTAAAAGTAAATTCCCCTCCTTCCCCAACACATAACATTATTCCATGCGACCTGAAGAGTACCTTGATCATCAAAGTTACATAATATTCAATGTTTATTTTTTACCATATATTTCCGCAGCAACGCGTGTGGAATTGTCTAGTTGTGAATAGATCCAAGAGTCAAAACCACCGTTTTCAAAAAAAAATAAAATGTGGGCCCGGTTATGAAGCCCACAGCCCCGTCGCCAGGAGGCCCCCTTTCCATGGGAGTGTTTTTATTTAGGAGATTTGGTGGAGGGGAGCTGGGAGTTGACGGCCGGGGAGAGTTGCCGAAGAAGCCCTCAACTGCCTAATCCCCCGCCCGTCTCCTCGAAGAACGGCACGCTCGGATCAGGGCACCTCCGCCGCCCCGGCAGCCTGCCGCGTCCTCCCGCCCGAGCGCGCCGCCGCCGTGTCGCGACGGTGCTAATGGCTTCAGAGGTTCTCCCCGTGGTGGACCTCCGCGTGCTCGCGCAGTCTGACCTGGACGCCCTCGCCGCCGCGTCCCTCCACGCAGTCGCTCCGCGGAGCTGCCCCGACGCCGACCCGCTCCCGCCTCTCAAGATCGACCGTGCTGTGTTTAACGAGAGCGCGGGGTCCCGTAAGCAGACTTTCTCCCGACTCCGCTTCGCGGCAGCCGCCTCCTCCTCCCTCCCCACCTCCCCTTCCTCCATCACGCCGTCAGCAGGCAACAACCCCGAGAACCACCTCGTCGCCTACCATCTCCGCCGTCTCTTCGCCCGTGAAAACCCCTCCTGCCCGCCCTCGACCCCGCCTCCACCCGAAACCCTAGCCCTATCGTCTCCCGACCCCGACCGGGAGACTACAAACTCCAAGGGGGTTTCCGTTGATCTTGTGAGGCTCGCTGGGCTCGTCGACCCATACGGCGTAGAGTTACGGAGGCAAACAGCCGGGCTTATGTCGGAGGCGGAGCTAATGGACTTCATCAATTGCCTCGAAGGACAGTGGGTGAGTCAGAGGCGGCGGAGGAAGTTTGTGGACGCAGCCTTCTTTGGGGATCACCTCCCTACCGGGTGGAAGCTGCAGCTCGGGCTCAAGCGGAAGGGGCGCCATGCCTGGGTGCATTGCATCCGTTACGTGAGGTTTGCTGCTTTGCCTTGTCAAATTTCCTATAAATGATGCTAACTCTGTAGTGGTGGCATCGACAGAGGGAATGCAATCATAACTTATATTGTGTAACAATCTGGATTATTCCTGCAGTGTATATATGATAGCATAGATGTACGATGGTTTGGGTTTGTGTGTACATTTTAGGAATGGGTTTTAAATGCTAATACTTAATGTTGTTCACAAGCACCTAGCAAATAAATGGTCCCAAAGGAACACACTGAGATTCTAGTTAAATCATAATCCTCAGTTTTCTTGTTTGCAGAAAACACTGGTGATTTGTCATGGTTTATGAGCATTGAGCAGCATTCACTGATGTTGTTTCAGCTTTCAAAATACAATCACTAACAGTTTAAGCCTATTAAATATGTTCTTTTGATTTGCACACTTCTTTGATATATCCTTCACCCTTCGATGCATGCATAGTAGCATACTATGCACGTTGCAGCGGTACCATCTGACTAGTTTGTGTTGATGCTTGTTATGGCAGTAATTTATCACTATATTCTTAGGTAAAGCATAAAGGGGTAATATTCTTTCACATAGTTCTATATATGGTGTTATAAGGGCTTTAACACACAGTTCTATATATGGTACCCCCTCTGTTCCAAAATGTAAGATGTCCATGCATTCCGAGATTTAAATCTGACCAGCAATTGACAACACAATGCGAATTATGTGACAAAAAGTGATATCATTGGTAAATGCTTTTGAATAAGAATCCATTGACATGATTTTTGTGTCATATTGACATAGCCCTCATTTTATTGGTGCCTTACATTTTGCAACAGAGAGACTACCTTCTATTTGTTATGCTTCTGGTTGAAGTAGCACCGGAAACTTGAGCATTCCAATCAGTTAAATATTACCAAGATACTGTGCCATATGTATTCGGATATATACTACCATTCTTTATTCTTAATGATGGTTTTGCTTTATACTATGAAAATTATTCCTCATCATTAAGTTGTTTAATTCTGGAAATTGTCAAGAATTACTTTTCTGTTTAAGGCTATTTGTCCTTTTGTTGGTAGGAATCAATGTCCAATAGCTGCGCTGCTGGCTCTCACATTTTTGATATTTGTTGCCTGGAAGTCTAGTTGAGATAAGAGAATTTCAGCAATATGCTTTGCTTTATCTACCATGCATTGTTAATGCTTTTGCCATTACCGCCTGACCAGGACAATTTTGCTTTCCATGTATTCTTTCTTGTATATTATTATCCAGTGTAGCTAAGCCTACAAATCATACTTTCCAGCCCAAGGGGACATCAGTTTCGTACTTGTAAAGAAGTTTCTGTGTATCTTATGTCACTTCTTGGGTATCCGGCGGCCGTAACAGTTCCTATTCAGTATAACAGCACCAGACAACATGCCTTGAGTGATGACGATGGTGAAGATGATGTAAGTTTATAGTGTATGCCATTTTATTTTGTACCTGAATTTTCCTTGTTTAATTTATGTGTTTCACAGGCTGTAGGGTTTCAACATCAAATTGGTTCAAGTGTGGATAACCTAAATGTATTGCCAGTTACTTCTGTCACCTTTTCCAGCCGTTCCTGCAATTCAAAGGATACGGTAGAAGGAAATACAAATCCAGCAAATACTTATAAGTGCCAGAATTGCAATTTAACTTTGCACAATCAAAGTGCCTATGTGCAGCACCAGCTGTTATTTCATGAAAAGAAAGCTAAGAGGCGCAGAAAGAGTAGCAAATTTGGTGAACCAAAAGTTGGTAAAGATGGGAAATTTGAATGCCCTGTATGTCACAAGACCTTTCAGGAGCAATCACGGTACTTTGGCCATGTTGGAGCCCATGCAAGGCATGAGGGGCTTACTCCTGAAGCTTTCTTTGATAAGATCTCATCAGGACAGGCAGTTAACAACTTCTTGGAAGAGTTACAATTTACCCCTCAGGAGCTTACTGAACCAACTGAACAAAAGGGCAAGACTGCAGGCGAAGCATGTTCTCAGCATCAGAGTTATTCAAAAGGACAAGGGGGTGATAACTCAAAAGTTATAGATCTTTTTAACACAAATTGTTCCGGTAGTTTCAATAGGCGTAGTGAAGCTTGGTGTAGACAGGTAGAGGTTCCTCCTGTTACAGATGCTCAAAGTGCATGCAGATACAGAAATGATATGATGGATTATGCCAATGTAACTGTTCCAAAACCAAAAGTAGCTCCTGAATCCAATGATGAACCAAATGGCAGGCTTAACGGCTTTGCTGAAGTTGATGATTTTAGTGATCACACGGGAAGTGGCCATGACTTCAGACCTTCTAGCTTCTCAAGTGCTAAACATTACGAGGACCAGATTGTTGATCGTGGCTTTCCTGTTTCAAAGCGTGGCGAGGTCAATAATACTGTGAAAGCAAGAGACGTCAACCTTAATTCATGCCTGGACACAATATCTTTCCCGATTGCTAGTGCAAACAATCAAACTTCTACTGCTGTTAATGAGGCTAATCAATCATCCATTGCTGGAAAATGCTTCATTGGCAGTTTTAATAATAATGGTGGTGCATCTACTACATCATCCTGTTCTGGCTCAAATAATAAAGTATCTGGTTCCCTTGGTGGATCTAACGGATCCTCTAATGCTGCCAGATGCATCGGTGGTAGTTATGGTAATGATGCTGCAGCTAACATTTTTGGCAACAAGAACAATACCATGGTGTACCAGTCTAGTTTGAACACATGCCCCATCTCTCATGTTGCAACTAATGTGGATTCTTCTGTTTCCCGTTCAACACATGCAAAGAACAGTGACAAAGAGCGTGCATACAATACCAAGGAACAAATGAATACCACACAGAACAGAGCAAGTAATGAAGCTGTTGAAGGCTATAATAATGATGTGTATACTGGTAGTATCACTGAAAGGAGTCTTGCCCAGTGTAGTAATAACTTGAGTCACCCAAAACCCAACATTCTGAGCCGCTGTGCACTACCGGACTCAAGCACTTTGACAGCCAGTAACTTAACCAAGGGAATTGATGTCAACTGCATGAATGGTTCTTTTGTTTATAGAAATGATGCCAACGTGGAGGGTCCTTCTGTAAATAGGCCCATGAATAATAATGATTCAATGGGTTCTGTGCATGCCGTGTTGGGAAAGCCAAGTAACGATATGCAGAATCATTACAGTGGTAGTGCTCCTAATTACACCCCGCTTGCTGCAGCAGCTAATATCAACGATCTAATACCTATGCAGAGCAATTTTGATGGCATGTCCACTTTGGTTCATTCTGCTGGTGATGTTCCAAGGAGCAGCACAACCCAGGATCAGGTAAAATTGACATGATTTTGCAGGCTTTCATAACTCTTGCACGATCTAGAAGTGGTTTGATTTTTTTTGGTGAGCATTAATCATAAAATAATGAATCTATATTGATTTGATCGCTACTTAAATGAGTTGCTTTGTTCCCTTCCATTGAAAACAAGAGAAGCAATATAATTATACTAGGCAAAGCAAATGAATTTGAAGTTGGCTTATTTCTCTCCTGGTATGAGTTCGGTTTTGCATGGTTGAGTGAGGATTTTTTTTTTGCTTAACCTTTCAGCACAACCCTGGATTAGGTAAAATTTACATGATTTTGCAGGCTTTCATAACTCAACCAAATGTAAGGTCTGATTAGGTCCATCTCGACAAATTAGATAAGATATGCACACCAGATTTATATTACGGGATTAAACCTAGCTGAGCTTGTTTTGAGCTTGGCATTAATTAAAGGGTCCTCCCTCTGTCCTATATTAGTTGTCGCTCAAACAGATGTATCTAGCACTGAAATATGTCTAGATACATCCATTTCAGTGACAACTAATATGGGATGGAGGGAGTATTCAATATTGATCCATGAGAATGGTTAGATTATTAAGTACTGTGCTAAAGGAATCAAATCCACAACTTTTACAAGTTTATGTAGGGTGTAAAACTACACCGGCCAATTCAAATGTCTATAAAATTTTACTTTTGGGAATGGGGAATTTCGTGAAGCAATTGCTGTTCTATGCAGAATCATAAATACCACTATTTTTTCATGCTGGTAATACATTAATAAACAATGCCTCTTTGATATTCTAACTTGATTTTTAATATTAACAAATATTAATTGGTGATATGTCATACGGCATGTAGTTGAATCAGGAAACACTCTTTGCATTTTTTAGTTATTATTATTGTTTATACAACGCCTTTCTAATACAAATAAAACGTAAATAAACTAATACTCGAGCACAAGTGTATGATTCAAAGTGTTTGACGGTTTGATTATTAAATACGAAATGAGCACTCATGAAATTCTTATTATAACATAGAGTACAGTATGCATGTGTCCTAACTCATTCAATATTTTATCGAGATTTAAGAAAGTATATAATCCCTCCGTCCTAGAATAAGTGTCGCTGATTTAGTACAACTATGTACTAAATCAACGACACTTGCTTTAGGATGGAGGGAGTACTACATACATATCACTCCATATTGGTTTTTTGGCGGGGCAAACAAAAAGCCCATGCATGTTTTTATAGTTCTATTTTTGCTGTTTCTTTTTGTTCTCGTTCTCACAACTATTGCTTAATATGAAAATGCCTTTTGGTTATCTCGGTTGCCTTGTTTCCGTGTTATCAAATTTTGTTGTGCTGGACTTTGTTGGGGCAATGATCTTTCATGCTGAATACCCATGTGATAATTGATTTTTTTTTTGTAATAATGAAAACAGTGTGCGTTGCAACTTGGATTTGGTGGCCAGAAGCAGCACGTATTTCCTGGTTATGGATGGGCTGCATTTGGATCCCCTCAGCTTGTGGGCTTGGCCAGAAATAATAATTTACCCACTAGATCCTCACAGTTTGGGAGCATGGTCAGACCTAATTCTTCTCCTTCTGGATCCTCTCAGTTAGGGAGTGTGGCAAGTTCTGATTATCTGCAAACTGGATCATCTCAGTTTGGGCGCATGGCTGGACCTTCTATACCTGCTGCCGAATCCTCTCAGTTTAGGCACATGGACGGACCTAATTCTAAACATTCTGCTGAATCCTCTCAGTATTGGCACATGGCTGGAACCAATTCTAGACCTCCTGCTGGATCCTCTCAGTTTGGGAGCGTGGTCAGACCTAATCCTGTACCTTCCACTGAACCCTCTCAGTTTGGGAGCTTGGCCAGGCAGAATTCTGGGAGGACATCCGAGCCAACTTTAGTGTTGGGGAATGTACCACAGACGGGAAGTGGCCCTCCGGCCCAGTCAGGATGGGATCTCAAGGTACCAAGGATGGTTAGTGGAGGGAGCATGCTCGCAGCAGTATGTACATGGTGCAACAGCCAGTTCCACCATTTTGGCCCCGTCGATGGACAGCAGGTTGGTAATTACGGCCTCATCTGCCCATCATGCAAGGATAAGGTGTCTGGTCAACGTAATATGCCCAACAATGGCTTGTGGCAACCCTGAGGTCATCTGAATAGCGTTGGAGATGTTTTTTTTTTCCGCTGTATCTGTTAAGGTTGAAAATTACCTGCACCGATCAGTTTGCAGAGTTGAGCGGGCTATCTAGGAATGATGTTTGTATTTGATGTGCTCCATCTTCTCTTAGGAAGTTTATCGATTTCATGACACGAGTGTAGGCGTATTTCGTTAGAACTGAAATAATAGTTTTAGATTTTATTTATTACATTTACCTGGGTATATCTTTTGCAGGAGATCCTAATTATGTTGCTCAGATAAGATAGTACATCCTCTGCTCAGATAAGATAGTACATCCGCAGACCCCCTTTTGTGCACGAGTGTAGGCGTTTTCCTAAATGTAAGACGTTTTGGCAGTTCAATTTAAACTGGCAAAATGTCTTATGTATTTAAAAACAGAGGTAGTAGTATATTCTGGCAGTGATGAAAACTCTTCCATTGCTGTAACAGGCTTCAAGCATCTTATTTCAGGAAATCACAGGTAGAGGTTTGATGTTCAGAAGATTCTGGTTTACTAAGTTGCGAGGCATAAATCCTATACTACAGGGTTATGCTAGTTTGCTTTTGCCTGTGAACTTAAGCTGCGATAAGTGTGACATTTGTTCAATAACGACCACGGCGGTGACACGTGCTGTTGGAGTTGTATGGGCTTATATGTCGGTTATTAATCGGGAATCTTATAGAGCTGACGTCCCCTGAAGGCTTCGTTGGGTTGCAAAAGATTTAATCCTCTAGTGGATTTGTTCCACCTAGGGATTGGGTGACCCCCACCCTGTCACCCAAACCCTGCCGTGATTAATCCATAGAATTTCCTCTCAACCCTTTCCTTCATTGCTGTTCCGTTAATCCCCTCAATCACCAGCGGAAAAGGTGAATCAAAAGGGGAGAAGATCCTGCCGGCGTGAAACCTTGGGGAGGGACACCGAAGTAGCCGCCGAGCTCGCGCTAGG